CTGAAATGTCTGCAAGAACTCAGACTGACACAAAATAAGGACGACAAGAATATCGTCTGTCCGTTGTGTCGAAAGGAAACTACCCTGACTGAAGCTGGCGTGGACATGCTACCTGGAGGTTCAAAGGATGTCAATCAACAGGAACAGACTGAAGGTCAGGGGTTAAAAGTCATGTGTCAGGCATGTGATGAGGAGAATGAAGCCATTTCTCGATGCATGGATTGCAAGCATTATCTCTGTCAAGAATGCCAGAAGGCACACAATCGATTGGCATCACTGAGAACTCACAAGATTATGGCTTTGACAGAGCTACCTGTTGAGTCCCAAGAAATAACTGACACTGAACTCAAGATAGTTCCCAAATGTCGCGAGCATCCAGATCAAGATCTCTGTCTGTATTGTAACTCATGTGAAGTCCTCATATGCAATGAATGCACAAACTTTGACCACAAAGAATCCATGCATTCTCACAACAGTACTGATGAGGCATTCACCGAATATAAACAAGAAGTAAATGAATCTGTATCTAAAACAGAAGATTGTATTCAAAAATTTGTTTCTGCCAACCCCTCTTCAGGTCAATCACGTTACAGACTTGACAAGATGCTGGCAAAAACGTACTCTCAAATTTCACAGAAAGCAGAAAAAGAAATTGCCAAAATCAGAGATAAAGAAAAACAACTGAAAACGGAGGCCAGGGCCATTGCCATTAAACAAGATACAGAATTTGCATATGCAGAAACATCTGAGCAAATTGTGGGTAAAGTGAATGAAACGATGATTAAAGCAACGTGCTATGAGATCCTGGAGTCCAAGAAGAAAATGCTGCGGGATTTGAATGAGCAGGTGGAGGTGCATAAGAGTTTGGATATCAAGCATGGGAAGTCATTCCTTGGCTTTAAGGAGAGTAAAGATGACGGTCAGCTTGGGACTCTGCTCTTGGAGGAGAAATGGGAGAAGTATAAGACCTTACCAGCCGTAAATGGTGCAGACCATCTTGCAGCATACTCCACAAGTGAAATGGTTGTGGCATACAGTGATAAACTGCATACACTGGATCCTGAGGGGAAGGTGATTTCGACAAAGACCTACAAACCTGACCCTGATAAACCAAACGAACCCCATGACCCTAATGACATACAGAAACCAACAGCTCTAGCCATCAACAAGGATGATCAACTTCTGATCCTAGACAATCCTGCAGTCAAGATCTTCAACAAGGAATACCAGCTCCTTCATCAGTTCCTACCGGGTAAAGAGGCCGGCGTGGACGGCACGCCGACGATGGCAGTGGACAGCAGCAATCTGATAGCAGTGGGTTACAAGGACAAGGAACAGATATCTCTACACAACCCAGATGGTTCCCTCGTCAGAACACTGCCTGCTCTAAAGATTGATGCACATTTGATCTTCAGCAACAAGGGACTTATTTACACCAACAGCAATGAGGGTTTGTTGATGGCTGTTGACTTACATGGCAACAAACTGTTTCAACGAAAATGCACTTCTGCTCGTGGACTGTGTTGTGATGATGCAGGTGACATTTATATTATTGCCCCATCTAAAATTTTCCATAGCACTACAGGTGGCAATTATGTTGAAATAATAATACATAAGAGTGAGTTGATGGATATCATATACACACCGACATTTAAATTAGTTACAATGGGAGGTGGGTGGATGTGCATGTACAACTTGGTTTGAAGATATCAACCTATAATTGAAAATACAAGCTTTCAAACTAAAAGGCAGGGAATGAAGACAAAAACAGAGGTCTACAGAACACAGCGCTTCCCGCATTTCATGTTTTTCAAAAGATTATCCTTTGTTGTCTGTGTGCAATCATGTTCCATAAGGGATAAATGTGTGTTTGGGAGGTATTAAAAGACCATTTTGAGTCTGGATGGGTGATAATTACCCAAGGCGAAGCTGAGGGTAATTATCAGCACTCCAGACTCCAATGCCGTATTCACACCGTCAATCTTGGACATCCTATTGTCCCTCTTTTGTTTGTATAACTTTTTATATGGAAGGACCCCCCACATGTTTTGTACACGACCCCAATCGCAGACGTATGCTTGGAATCACGGACGATATTGTTCTCTTGTTTTCCGGCATTTTTCGTTCACTTCTTGTTCCGTAACTGTGAGGACTACACACGTGTTGTCCCATGGTAGTGTAACCGAAAGTGTGGGGACTATATCAAATCTAGTGCTAATGGAGTTTGATTTTATTCGAATGAACTGTTCATGTAGTGCGTGCGTGACTGGGCGGAGCTTAGTGCTCAGTGTGTGCATGGTTTAGCATACGTACATTAGATTAGGGGTACTCGCGTGACCACTTGGTTCAGTTGAGTCGTGGCCAGTTTTGTGTAATGCTGACGCGCCCTGTGTACAGGCCCTGACTGTGCGTAAGTTACGCTGTGTAATGCTGATGCGCGCAGCCATATAAGTGAATGTACTGTGCGATGCTGACACTAGCTTGCATGGAAAAAGCGTAATCAAGTACAAGGCTGAACGAGTTATATGCTGGCGTGGTGTACATTCTTAGATTGGCGTGTATTGTTTACATTTACGTACATTACTTACATTGGCATGTATTATTTACATTGGCATGTATTGTTTATTTTGGCGTACATGTATTGTTTACTTTGCTGTACATGACTTACATTGGCGTGCATTGTCTACATTGGCGGATATGTATTGTTTACATTGCTGTACATTACTAACATTGGCGCGCATTGTCTACATTGGCGTAGATGCATTGTTTACATTGTTGTACATTACTTACATTGGCGTGCATTGTCTACATTGGCGTTCATGTATTGTTTACATTGTTGTACATTACTTACATTGGCGCGCGTTGTCTACATTGGCGTAGGTCTGTATTGTTTACATAATTGCTGTACATTACTTACATTGGCGCGCATTGTCTACATTGGCGTAGATGCATTGTTTACATTGCTGTACATGACTTACATTGGCGTGCATTGTCTACATTGGCAGACATGTATTGTTTACATTGCTGTACATTACTTACATTGGCGCGCATTGTCTACATTGGCGTAGATGCATTGTTTACATTGTTGTACATTACTTACATTGGCGCGCATTGTCTACATTGGCATAGATGCATTGTTTACATTGCTGTACATTACTTACATTGGCGTGCATATTGTCTACAGTGGGGTAGATGTAATTGTTTACATGGTTGTACATTACTTACATTGGCACACATTGTCTACATTGGCGTAGATGTATTGTTTACATTGCTGTACATTACTTACATTGGGGTCCGCTCATAAGTCCGACGCCTCATAGGTCCGACGCCTCATAACTCCGACAAAATCGCATCCCCTAACCAAATAAAGGCCCATAAGTCCGACGCCTCATAGGTCCGACACCTCATAAGTCCGACGCCACATAGCTCCGATGCCTCGTAAGTCCGACAAATTAAACGCCTCGTTTTTCCGTTGTCGGACTTATGAGGCGTCGGACTTATGAGGCGTCGGACCTATGAGGCGTCGGACTTATGATACGGCCCCCTTACATTGGCGCGCGTTGTCTACATTGGGGTAGATGTATTGTTTACATTGCTGTACATTACTTACATTGGCGCATGTTGTTTACATTAGCGCGCGTTGTTTACATTGGTGTGTATTACTTACATTGGTGTGTATTACTGTGCGCGTTGCTGCTTATATGAGTAGTGGCCGGGTTGTCTCCCAACTATAATTAAGTGACCCTGGTAATAGATGAGCCCAATTAAATCCCAATTATTACTGTATATTTCTCGATTATCGTATAATAAATTACAATCATATTTGTTGTGCCTACAATCCTGTTGTCAAGGTGTATTTCTTGTGCAATTAACAGAGAGTAATCACAATCATCATAATCGGCGGTAAATTACCTCCAAAACAGCTTTGAGGTCGCTCTGAGTGGTCTCTTGTCTTGGGTTCGGGAAGATCAGCTACACTCTAATAGGTGTCAGACTTGGTCCCTATCAACTTCGGTTTGGCCGGGAAGTTCCCCACCACAATATTATGGGGACCGAAGATGCTATGGGGACAGCAGAAAGTCCCCATAACTTGATCCTAATTTCCCTAACAATAACAAACTTCCCCATAATCCGGTGACGACCCGCCCACATACACAAGTGTGTATACACCTGCAACTTTTTAGCAACAGGTCCAATCGGTTTTGTACACTTCCCTCTTTCGTGGACCTTTCGGGAATCGTGGACCCTATTGTCCTCTATTGTTCAACGTCCATGATTTGAATGGGTATACAAATTCTCGCACACACACACACACACACTCAGTGTATTTTACATAACTCCAGAGGACAAGCCATTGTTTTTCATTTGTCCCTTTAATCTCTCCCATTGACTAAGCACATAAACCCACGATCGAGGACCGTTTTCAACAAAAGATGAACGTTAAAGTCAACAAAGAATCTGTTGTTTCATAGCAAATATTGTTACACTGACCAGATGCTGGAAAAACCAAGAAAAAAATGCTGCTCTTTTAGCCTGGTTCCCTAACCCTACTTTAGACGAAACAGAGCAATTTATAGACATCGGGGCATTGTCAGGTCAGGGAACCAGATTAACCAGCTTACACTCGTTCACGGATGTGCAACTGATTGCAAACAAAATGTATTTCAGAAAAGTCAGATTTTTCAACGACTTGATCGTAAGTTTCTCAACAAACAATCATCCAATAGTATACCAACAGTTCTTGATAAAACTTTTGGGGTGTGTTTGAACATCTTACTCGTGTTAACACGGGTATACTCCTGAGTGCACGAACGGCAGGAGTACAACCCGCGGGTCAGCAAGAGTATGCTCTCCGTCATACCGGGAGTACACTCCAGCACCGAGAGGGATACGCACGCAGCATTTTCCTGCACTCAGGAGTAGCAAGAGTAACACGCTCAAACGCACCCTTGAAGGGTTTTTGTAAGAAGAATGGTCACCTCGGCAACCTATAAACTCACCTCCCGGATGTACTTGATGCCTTCCGTGGCAAAGAGGATCTGCTGCATGTCGCTGGGCATGGCTAGCGGCTTACTGGTGGGAATGATCAACGTCCGCTGCCTCGGTGGATAATCCCCTTGATCTGGGGATTAACAGTAATCCACAATAAGTCCAATTCAATCATTGCTATTCTAATAATGAAAATTAACTCTAACCATCCTCAAACCTCCAAAATCCTCATGGCAGTTTAGGAGGATTTTGGAAGATTGAGACTGAATGGCAAAAAGTGTCCGTTCATTTTGGACCCTGCATTGTTTATGTTGCAGCCATGCATTAACTGAGCCCTGCATTATGCTCGATATCATCCGCACTGCTTCTGAATGTCATCAGCACTGCCTCAACCCATTAACAGTGAATTTTAAAGGATTGAGTCAATGGTCACTCCGCTATTGATTTTGGAGGATTGAGGATGGTACCTAGCCAAAATTGTAATACTTATATACCACTTTCCATTATAACAACGATCTCAAAATGCTTTACAAATATTCTCCGTTCATCAGGCCACGAGACCACATAGCAGCCGATATTATACAAATATTGAGTGGCTCAGCGTGGAATGGGAGGAATATTATCGCGAGGAAAAATCTGGACTTTTCCAGTTCACGAGGCGAAGCCGAGTGAACTGGAAAAGTCCAGATTTTACCAAGCGATAATATTCCTCCCATTTCACAATTTAAAGCCACTCAATATTTGTTTTATATAACTGACATATAGATCCTTGTCATTTGATATATTTGAACTTTTTTTTCAATACAAAACTGAAGAACAATCTATTTCTCTCTTCAAAACCACCCCATCACGAAAATGTTTGAACCTAACGCTGTAGCGCTGGCTCTTGGAACAATACGCGCTACGCGCAACGCTGAACGCGCACACCAGCATTCATTTGCACACAAATACCGCGTCATGATCGTAACTGTTGAATAGTATTTCCCATTCCCCATGGGCGGATAGTACTTTTTGAGCTGCGGCGTGAATGGGAGCAATAACGAATGCCACGTGATGTGAGTTCCACCAATCAAATGACTAGGATCTGTATGTCAGTTATATAACAGCGTACATTCGGTCCTCTACCCTCACAGCTACCCGTTCATACTCCTGGGAGGAGAGGCAATTGTAGTTAAGTGTCTTGCCCAAGGGCACAAACACCATGCTCCTGGCAATAGAGTAGTACAGTACTTATGCACAAAGTCCATACAACAGACAGCCAGACTTACCGATTGTTCTGAACTTGGAGACGTCACAGTACAGGATCATGACAGCCAGCATCGTGTGGAGATAAGTGAACTCTTTGGTTTGCAGGGACGTCCATCGCCTCGTCTGAACATCCTACGCCGGGCAAAAAAATCAATAAGTAGTCTCAAGAAATTAAACCATTGCCATGACTTCAAACTATTGTTAAAAGTGTGGATTCAGAACTACGAATCTGCCACACTGGTCACAAAGTGTGGATTCGGAACGACGAATCTTCAGTAAAGTGTGGATTCAGAATTACAAATCCGCATTTTGGACAATGTACTTGAAAACATATATAGCTGAATAGACAACATGAAACTTATGACACGTTAAGGAAAGACTGTTGCATCCTGAGGCCACTCTTTTCCTCATATATCATCTCAATAAAGGTTAGTCATTGCAAAAATGTTGAAAAGACATGAATCTGGGAACGAGAAACATTTCCATTTTTGTTCGGAAACACTTCATAGACTCTCCATAGACTCTATACACAACCAGTGTGTGGCGTCTGGATACAACATTCTTTCCCACGTAATTTTTTTTTTTTTTTTTACGTATTCTTAATCCATTTTGAACATTTTCAATTTGTTTTCACTTGATTCAAATCCATGTTGACGTGAAAGAGTCTACACCCAAAATAACGTGGTTGCACGGGTGTGGCGACTAGGATTCACATTATTAACAGAAACACACCACAATGTTAATTTCCATTACATAAAATTTGATAACATAAGCGCCTCGGATAACTCCCTTGAATGTAAGTTACGCCGAATTAAATGGCCACGATACAAGATATGCAAGTCTTTTCATCTCCACTCACTGGACTGTTAATGACAATACTTCTTTTGACGCAATGGTTTAAGTCAGAGAATACACTCGCAAGTGTGGATTCTTAATTTACGAATTCACTCGGCGCTTCGCGCCTTGTAAATTCTTAAATTACGAATCCACACTTTCTCCTGTATTCTCTGTAACAGAAATGTCTACTATTGGACACAGGTTAAAAGTCATGTGAATTATGGCATCAATTAGGTGATCATTTTGTGAGACTGTATTTGAAGCATGATTAACGTTTAACTAAAATTAAAATAGATTAACTAAAATCTATCTGTGCTCGAAGTGAGTAATGAAGAACCAGCCATTATTGGGTAACCGTCACCCGATTTCATTTAATGCACTGTTTTTCACTCATGGAACTGCCTTACATACCTCCTCGTTCTGTGCAGTGTGTGGGCCAAAGAGGAACGTTACGATCCGCCGCATGGCAGACTTAGTGAACAGATGTTTGCGGCATACAATATCCTATGAGTGGAAAAGACAACAAATTCATTAAGGCCAAAAAAAAAAGTCTCCGGTTTCTGGTATGCGCGCGTCACCGCGGCGTAGCCATGCGCGTCGGCAAAATGAAAAAGTTTTTTTTTCAATGAAAGATGATGTCTCAAAACTGCCAAACTCACTGGTTTGACTGAAATCCTGCTGCTGCACAATTTTAATGTGTTTTTAGATTGGGTTATGTGGCCTCTCTGGACTCCCATATATTTTCTCTCCAAATTTGAGTAGTTAGCAACAGGTCTAGCAAAAAATTGGCCTACTGCCATTGGAACCAATAACCAATTTTTGCAGCCATGTGGTACATAAAGTTATTTACTTTATCATGAGGAGACGTCATAATAAATGGGATCAAAGTATGATGGTGCAGTTATAAATGCATGGTTTCAAGCTGGTTAGGGGCCTGGCCGATAATAATGTTCGGCTCAGGCTATACATCTTTTTCACGAGGAAGCCATTCTTGATCGTGTTCCCTGAATGTATTTTATAAATGGTCAACTGTTGAATGGGATGGTGCCAGACTATTTATGCCTTCCAAGCCTCACTGTCAATTTTTTTGAATGCTCATTGGTTTACTGCCATGTACTTACACAACAACAAATCACCAAAGAAAAGAAAATTTATGACAGCAAAATATCCACAATTATAGGACCTTTTTGTGCTGAAATAGCTGTAACATTGAGGTTTTTGCCCAGGGTAATCCTTATCTTTAGGACACCTCTATTTTTCACAAGTTCTGTTCAAAACTGACTTTGGCAATAGACTGTCCAGTACCAAAGTGACTTTTGCAGGCTAAAGAAGTCTTTTATCTTCTGATTAATGTTCTAAAGTTGTAATTTTGAAAGCACTTTCAAAGAAAATGTGACTTTCCTACCTTTTTTGCAGTTTGCCATCTTGGTTTTTGAGTCTGTTTACTGTTTGTCATTGCCGTGTTTTACCCCCTTATTTCCCTCATAAATCAAAGCCCTGCCAGCCTCTTTCCACAAAATCAAACCTGCTGATATTCAAGAAGGGTCATACTGTTCAGATATAAGACAAGAAATATCAGAATGTCACTTTTGAGTGTCATTTAGTCAGCTGTTTTGGTGAGTCTTGTAACCTTATATAGGAACGGGGTCCTAAAAGTAAGGATTACCCTGCCCAGAATGACATCACAGGTTTGCACATGAATACAGTAATTTGAATTAGCATAAAATCAAAACGACATCAAAATACCCTTGGATATGGCAATATGAAATTTAAAATAAGGTTAAATGGGACACAAAGATGCATTTTTAATGATTGCATGAAATAAATGCTATCTACAATGCATGGGCCCTTTAAGAGTCAAATGGAATGCTGCCCTCAGAACTCACCTGAGTTTCTTTTTGGTTCGGAAGTAATTGTTGAATAGAAACTGGAAGGCTAGTTGCAGGCTGGTGACGGCACAGGAATTGTAGTTACTGCTCAGTGTGAAGGACTGCAGATTGACAAGAAGAGCAATATTTTTGAAGAGGAGGTTTTTTTAAAAAGTATTCTCGATCAGGGTAATGATTTAGGGTACACTTTATAAGCAAATACCAAAAGTTGCAAATTTCAAGATTACGCGAGGAGAAATTGCTCAGCGCAAACCACACGCCCGTAATTGGCACCTATCAACTGCACAGTGCCCGAACAAAGCGCGGGTAATTCAATTCCTCATGCTCCCATGCATATACAAGTACTGTGCAATCGATATTCCCTGCCGTTCATTTTGGGCATTGTAACACTGTCACGCAGCAATTTCCACTCGCCTACTCTTTAAATTTGCAACTTTTCCAGCTGCATAATTTTTCACGAACCATTGTTAATGTTGGACAGTTTACAGTCTTTGGTAGCAAACTGGGCATCAAAATGTAGCTAAATTCCCCTCAGGTCTATATCAATGACGTTATCATAAGACGATCAGATTCAAAATTATGACCCTAAAATGAGTGCATGGGGACTCTTTTTTTCTTTCTTTTTTTTGCGGTGTTTATTTGAAAATCTAGTAATAGCAGAAAATCCCATGCTGACAGTGGGCGTATTTCACATGAAACCAAAGAAGTTGGGCTTGTGTGTATGATGAAGTGTACTCCAACGGCTTGATTTTTGAGGAGCAAAGTTTTGTACCCTGAAATTCCTCCGTGCAGTAATGTCAGCAAATTTGAAAGGTATAGTTGTGTTGAGCATTTGTATCTTTAACTCTCATTTTAATGATCTGCCCAACTATTATCATTGTGTGGTAAACAAGTTTTCGCGCCAGAATTGGCGCTTTTTTTGTAAACGAAAAAATTTCCCTAAAGATGTTTTTGGACTCACCACATTGCAGGATGCAAGGCTCCGGACAAAGGTGAAGTAATCGGTGTCATAGATGGCGCGGTTCTGAAAGGAACTGCAGGTTGTTGTCGCGTATGACGCGCTGGATCCCCGGTGGCATGCGGTCCATGAACATCCCCCGGTGTTCTCCCTTGCGCTCCAGTGCGGTCAGCTCGCCGAGACGATCGCCGATCCCCTGAGTCAGTTCCCCCGAGCTTTCGAGGAGAGCTCGGGGGAACTGACTGGTTCCAAACTGGCGGGAAAACACAAGAAAGAACTTCACCTGACAACAGGGGCTAAAGGACTCCGTGAGTGAAAAATACTGCAAGTGAAACTTGCGCGATCCCCCTGGCATGCTGGCAGTTTTTATAGTCAGTTAGTACAGATACTTACTTGTCACTATCAGTGTCCCTAACCAAAATGGAAGATTTCTATTGTTTTAGCAATAGTGGCCTTGAACTTTGACCTGTCGGCCCCAAAAGCAACAGGCTTGATAAGGCTACCAAGAGCAACCCACAAACCAAATTTGAAGACTACAGGAACATGATTGTTTTTCTTGGTTTTTTTTCCAGCATCTACAAACATAAAACCTCAAACAAGTCGGTGTAACAATATTTGCTATAAAATACTAACCCCCAAAATCCATCCATTTCTGCAAATTACAGAAAAAGCATATAGATACCAAAAATCTGAAATCACTTAGATTTTTCAACCCAACATTTTGGAGAAAACATGTTAAAAGCTGTGGAAAAGAGTACTATTTACGACAACTTACACGTGAATCTTGCCTTCGCTGTCTTGCTTGAGAAGTGTGATAATGTTGGGTAAAGATAAACACCGAAATCCTTGTATGGAGAAAGCCCTGGTTCTTAAAAGACAAAATCGCCTCATGCCAACAAGGTTATTAAAGTATCTTTTCATGGAATTTGAATGATACAATCCATTCCTTACTCTATGGAAAAACATATACATGTTTACAATTAAATTTAACAAAAACAAATCTGACAAAATACAGAAATTATACAACTGGGTAAAATTGAGAATTCTTTATTCAAATCTTGCACTTCTCTGTCTCAGGAAGTTGATCATGAAAGAAAATGTTTATTTAAAATACCAGGAATTTGTAATCAATATTTAAAATATATTTACATATATGTACACACATGTACATTAATGTCACTGACCAGCCCTTCAGTGTAAACTCTGCAGAAACCGTACGCTCAAATGTGTGTATGCATATGCCTCTTTAATTAGGGCCAGTTTAAACCAGTAGAGACTGGTTTGAACTGGTTCAAACCAGATTTGAACCAGTATTTTATATACCTATACAATACACTAAGTTTACTGTCTGATCTACTAACCATGTCTTGCATTGTATCAAACAGTACTACATTACTTTAAAATGCAACTTTTTTTATTCCTACTATTTTAGTGAATCAAAGTAGATTTTCACCCGATGGTTTTAAACTTTTTAAGGTCTCTAAATATGTACAGTATTTTGCATTAAGGCAGACATATTTTTCTTGTGCATTTTTATGTTAATTTTTTTATTTTGTCTGGTTATCAAGAAATCCTTTTGACTGAGATTCGTTTTTTGTTTGTGTGCATGTGTGTAATTTCATGACGGATCTTTGCATATCAATCCCCCCTAAAGATAGCTATATAACATTGGATGGCTTTGAAAGGGATATAAGAACATATTGCATGAGCTATGATGAGGGCACTATTGTTATAGCTAGTGCAATATATTCTTGTATCCCCGGGGAAAAAGCCATCCAATATTATCATTATTATTTATATCAAGCTGACTTGATCAGCAAGAAATACCTTTCAAGACACTGTCTTTATTTCTGAAATTTCACCGAATATTCTTTGCTTACCGAAGCAAATTTTGCGCTGCTCGAAGCTGCCATTGTTGCTGTTGACAACAGTGCGCGTATATCATGATGCGCGTATGTCATGCTGCGCGCTGCGTCCATGCCCGCGTGCGATGGTACCGCGCTACGCTGTGTTGACCGGTTGACAACTGTGAGGTTCTACGCTCTTGATTGTGTGGGAACCAGCGAAAATTGTTAAAATGCCCGGATAAGGAAAATATCCAAAAATAATATTGTCCTCATCTGGGTACTTTGACTGATATAATATTGCAGTCATCCGGGTACTTTTTACAAAGCATACAATACGCTAAATTATTTTTATCACTGGAAGCCTGATATAAATAATAATATAGTTTAACTCTTTGGATACAAACCAAATTGCCTCAATTTTAACGAAAATGAAACAATGTGTACTATATGATCTTTGAACAGATATATCAAATGTTCGTATCTGGCGGGTGCAATTTTGGAACAATCTGCTCATTGCACACATAACCTATACAAAATTACAACTAAAAAAGGCTGAAGTTTTTCTGCTTATCAAGGTTGCTTCACTGACTGCAGAAAATGAAAATAATTCAGGGGGAAACCTTTGCTGCAAGGTCTACTTTTCTGTAGCATAAAAAGCGTAGTTTGTAATGTCATGTCAGTATTTAAAACAGTTCAACCTATACAGTTAATCTAGCTGGCCAAAAAAAAAGAAGAAAAAAACCAAGACGAACAAAAATGAAACTTTACAACTTTTGCTACAAGCATTAAAGCACCACATCCTATGAACTTCAAATTAAATATAATTTCAGATTTTTCTTATGGAATTTGACAACGGGTTAATAAAAATGGAATTACTTATCCAATTGAAAAAGTAAAACTTCATAACTATACTTGAAACAAAATTTGGAACACAACAGAAAAATTGTGCAGATGTTAATTATGTTTAAGTGTGCAAGAACTCAGCCCCCAACTCAAATTTCAATATGACCTTAACATTGGCCAGGTGGTTTCATCTTCTCAATCGAAAAAATCCCACATACAACTGAACAACGAGAATAATGTTTTTCCCAACTTATCTCAATGGTGTCTTTATCTCGTTTTAAAATGAAAAATTGACATTTTGAATTTTTAACAAAAACCTACGTTGTATTTTTCTTATGTACAAAGTATTTACATATGAAATAGTGAGGCATGATATTTACAGTGACAAAGATGTTATTAAATTTACACAGAAATGGATCTTCAATAGTTAATGTATCGAGCAAAACACCCCCCCCCCCAAAAAAGGAAAATTCAAATTTCATTTAATGCTACTTGAAAAATAACTTGCATTGGTGTGTGTAACTATAAGTTATTCATTTTTACTTAAAACACACCGCTACCAAACTATCTACATGGAAGTTACCGAAAATGCATATTAATTAAGTATTGCCATAGCGATACCACATGCAGTTGCGATTGGATGAAAGAGTGAAGGTAGTCGCCTGGTATTGGATGCTTTCCTTTTTATGAATATTCATGCCATTCCTGGTACAATCTGATTGGTTCTCATGAAACACATCACGGTCAAAGGTTAATGATATACATGTAATCTAACTGGTTGAAACCAGTCGCAGCTAGTTTCAAATCTAGATCCAAAAATACTATCAAATTCTCTTTTCGCTGAGGCAGTTTTGAAAAGTTGTTAGATAGAGTACTCATGCTGTGTGAACATTTGAAAAATACAACCCGTTTTGTTGTTGTTGTTTTTAAAACTATTTACAGCAGACAATAATGATGAAGCATGTATGTCATAGTCATTTATCCCACAAGCGTGAGTGGAACACGGAACAAAGTAGTGCGTCTGAGTACCAAATGCCACGAGGCTGAAGACCAAGTGGTTGGGACACAGACGCACCAAATTGTCCATTTTCCATGAGCGTGAGTGGATAACGGATTTATCTTCAAGCCAACTTGACGCACAGTAAAGCTGGATCGAACGAGCGCACCCCGAACTTTCCAGTGGTTATCCTTTAACGCGTGTGTGCAGTAGGCATAGTGCGCATCTAAGAATAGTGCGATACCCAGACTGCGATATGGATAATGTTGTTGTCATGAATCAGCCAATCAGGATCGAGGATTCAAGTTTGCTCGAAGATGCCAGAATTCAGTATTTTTACCGCGAAGAATTAACTCTATGCACAGATTTCAGATTCAAAAATCTTTGTAGAGTTATTTGATCTAAAGTTATTTCAATGCATAAACTATTTGGCAACTTGATTTAATCAAGTGGGGTAATCAATAAACAGAAACAAAAAAGAAATTCACGTGAATCCCGCAGCACTTTTGATAGAAAATTCCTGAATCCTACAAAATCAAACACAGTGCACAAAACAAATGGTCATTTTTGAAACTTCATAGGTGCATCAACCCCTGTGCCAAAAAAAAATAGCTAGGCCCAACTTTCCTCAATCCTATAAAATCCTTCAAAAAAATTCTGATGGAATTTGTAGGACCCAGGAGTGGTTATGGTTAGAAATCGACCAAGTTACTCTGCAAAACATCCAATAAAAAGAATCAGTGTGACAAAAGGTTTAAATTCGGGTTTGTATAACTTTTTGTCACTTTTGCATCCCTTGCTAAACTGGCTGTGAGACTTTATGGTAAAACAACACACATACCATGCTACAAATTGTGTACGTATAAAATTATTGCTTCTACAATCTACACTCAAGTCCAAATAAAAAAAATAACAAACAAACATTGTCCTATATTGGCTTAAAATAGAAGAATTTGTGCGACACACAAAAATATGGCTAACAGTAAATAGAGTGAACGATTGAACAGGAACAGTGGCCAACAGAAATCTGGTAAGCACGGAAAATACCTGCTCAGCAAAAACAGGTTTCTTGAGGTACAAAGCATGCGAGTTATTATAACTTCTGACTTGCTTGGGCAAAAAATATTGTTATTAAGCATTCATTGTCTGCTTTGAACGCCCTATGCAAACAGACATTCTGTGCCAAGTTGTCCTTTCAGTCAAGTGGCTGTTTTCAACAATTGAGAGCTCCAGCCTAGGTAAAGCAGGATTGACCTAGTGGATAGTGGAATGAACTATGGATCGCAAGATCTGTGGTTTGAACCCTTGTCCAATTTTATGAAATATTTTTGTTGGTTGCCATAAGTTAATTGCAGGAAAAACACTACGAAAACCAGTCTTCCCTCCACACAGCGTGATAAATATTCATGTTAGGGTGCGTGATGTGATTGGTTAAAATACGATGTGTCAGCAAAAAAAAAAAAATGCAACCTGGCCCTTGGTTTCCTACGACCTGACCTGTGATGACCTCTGACTTATGACCCCGGGAGTAAGGAACCATCTTCTATTGGCTACAAATTCTGAAACAGAAAAAAAAAACGCCGTTATGTATCAATGTCGTCCAAGTCGCCCACGTCGTCCTGAACCAACGTCTTGGAAGACTCAGAGCTGTCTTCATTCCCGTTGACCTCTGACCCCTCTGACGACCCGTTGACCTCCATCTTGGTGTTGGAGTCCCCCTCAACATACTCCTCCTCCTCTTCGTCGTTCTCGATGTGTTCACCGTCGTCGTCACGCGTGTTGAGCTCATCCAGCAGCGCGGTGGCTTCGGCCAGCGTGTCCTGAGCACTCATGGTGCGTTGGAAGGACCGTCCCGTGCTGGATTCGTTGGAGACGTTCTGCGGAGTCCAGTAGTGCTCACTCATCTACCAAACACAGCAAATATAACAGATAAGTCATCAATGGTCTAGTCTTGATAGAAAGTTGCTATGCACTTCTTGAAATAATCTCTGGGAAAATGAAAGATTAAAAGGTATTTAGGATAATTCACCTGCTGAATTATTATCAAAAAGCTTATTGGGAAGCCTTAACTCCCTAAGGGGTGTGCAAAATCATATTGAAATTGGAGGATTCAGGACTGTTAGGGACCTACTGGTACAAACAGCCTGTGAATGGTTTTAGTCTGGCTTGCTGTTATTACGAAGAAATCAAGCAGTGATTTTCAACGATCAGTCAATTGACTGATTTTTTTGAAATAAAGAGTGCTGTTGACGAAATTGTGCTAGGTGATCAAAAGGTTATGCGCAGTTTTTCACTGTTTTCTCAAAAAGTGTAATATCCACTAAGCTGAAAATTCCAACAGGTTAGGTTTTGACCTTTCTTCTTTGGATTTTGAGTGGTGTTATCATTGCATGGAAACAAACAAAATGCACAAAAAGCAAATGATCCTAGACTTTTAATGGACTAGGGTATTTTGGTCTTCTAAGGACACCTTTGTATTTTTCCATACTGCTTAGCCGATTATCATACAAATTTGGCAGAAATATTTGCTGCCTAAACTACTGGGTGACTACTCAGGCGTGCAACTGGGAATTCAGAAAAAAATGAGGAAATTCCAAATCACACAAGAATTTATACAGTATTTTTTCAATTCCCAACAAATTTGTGTTGCACTTCGCGTGGGATGTGTACGGCCGTTGTCTATGAATGAGATCTCCAGAGCTGCTATGCAGCAGGCATGCGGCTATTGTCCCCCGGATTATCAGCTTTCGTTTGTTACTAACTAAATAACTAACCGACGTATGGACTAACTGACGGATCATACATTTATTAATTTCTTTTAAACGATGTCAAGACAGACGGAATAATATCACTGGGTGTTTAGTACCAGTACAATCTTTTAATCCAAATAGCTTAAAATAATACTTTTTAATATTAACCCAACTCCCTAGGGGGTGTGCAAAATCGTATTAAAATTTGAGGATTCAGGACTGTTGGAGCTATTAATAATTTGTTAGGTTACTTTTGGGAGAAATGCAAATAATCCTATGTGCCTTTAAGTCAGCTTGTCAGGGATAGAACACAATTTATCTAATTACCTTGTCTTTTGACTTGGTTAACTTGAAAAAGTAAATCTTTTGACTTCGAGATATTAAACCCGCTTAACCGACCCTTCATAAAACTACATGTTGATGAGAAGTTCTTACCTTTTTCTTGAGCCAGTTGACCGCCCACTGCCACCGAACCGAGATGGTCATCAGATACTCTTTGGCCATGGAGCATTTGTTGGACAGATGGACCAGGAATTTGATGCACTGGTAGGACCGACGGCTGTCCGTGGACGTACATTTACGGATGATCTCTGCGAGACAATAACAAGAAATAGTGACATTAATGTTAAATCAGCCACGATGAAATAGTCTGTAAGGATTGTAGTTAAGGCTGCAGTCCATCATTTGCAGTTTTCTAAAAAGTAACTGACATAATTATTGTTGGAAAACATACTTGGTTGAAAGATAGTAATGGGACTAAACTCCCTGTGAAATTGTTCTTTCTGGCAAGCTGTCATTTTGAAGAAATCAACAAAAGAAGGCCTTTCCAACAGTGCATCTAAAGACGCACATTGGAAATTTCCATAAGTAGTTCCTTTTTTTATTCGGTGAAGCACACACAAGGGTTGACACGACACACACGCGTGCGCCCTAGATAATTCATTGGATCAGTGTGCAACATCGCATAGCTGCAATCAGCTAAGTGAGAACGTGTCTCGGATGCTTAATTCAGGCCCAAAGCAAAACATGATTCAGCAACTTTTGATTTGAAATCGAGATGCTAGAATGTTGTTGTTTCTCTTGAAATATACAGCTGAAGCTCAGCTGAAACTTCATGAGGTTAGTTGTTCGGCACCCTTCTTTAGATTTTAGCACGTTTGTTGGGTCATACAAACAAAATGCACAAATTACAAAAATGGACTGTACTTTTGAATGTTACTACTCTATACACTTTTGGTCCAAAGTGTGACAATTTCTTTGCCCCTGTTATCTTGGTACTTTGTAATTTTCCATTCAGAAAAACCCTCGACAGTTTACCCATTTCTATTGGTCGAGAGCCTGTCATGTGGTTGGTTTTAAACAGTCAATACAACAATGGCTGGCGGGTCTAAAACACTTTGCAGGTGTTACACGATTTTTGGACTCCTGTGAATCTGGTCCAATTACCCTTTTATTGGTTGAACGTTCACAATCCTCACTTAGAAATGCGCAACACTACCAGTGAGTCACTATTTTATAGCCATAATTCACACTACACCGGCACAGCTGTGCTCTGCGCCACTCCTCCAGTATGCCTCACACGCAGGCCAATCCCCATATAAGGAGTTGTCTACAACTACTTGCTAGAGGCATATACCATAACATAGTCAGAGGGATGTTTTAAAAGAATATGAAGTAAAATTATTGGAAAAATCATTGGAAATTTATATTATTTTGAGTGGTGATGACTCTTTCACGGAAATGGTATTTGTGAAAGGGTATAAATCTGTGCTTGGCTGGTATTAAACTGTTAAAGACTGGCTGGGGGCCTTGTCTAAAACGGACTTGTTTAAAACGAGCCAAGCACACATAATTCCCTTATTCAAGCATCATTAAGAATGACTTTAAACGTTTTATTTGTTGGGTAGGTAGTTTGCTATTCATAAGCACTCTTGGAGGATGACTGCATTAAGGAGTGCATCAGAATTATATTATCACAGATATCAGATGTAACAGGCACATGAAAAAAGTGGACCCCACATTGATACAATAACCCATATGGCTTGGCCTCCCAAGATGGCGTCCGAGTGGCTTCACCCTACCCAGTCGGTATACACAGAGATGAGTGCTCCTTACCCAAGAGGCCATTGTTGTTGTTGCCTTCCACGGCTAGCTTGAGGCGCTTGCCCTGCAGGGGGTCCTCCATCATCAGCAGCTCCAGGAGGAGAATCAAGATGTGCTTCAGCTCATTGGTGGGCGCCGAGGACACCTGACCCTGTATCGACCAATCAGGGCGGAGAGAAATGAAAAAAAAAATTCAATACAACAAAGAGAAAAAATTCTGGCAAATATTGTAGCGTTTCAAATTTCAATCTCCCTTGTTATATTTAAAAGGTCCATAAGATCATTTACTTTTTGTGCATTTTTTGCCTTCACTTTGAGAAAGGCTTTTGTCGTTAAATATGTTTCTGGGTCATTGCCAACATTCCTACATAAACGTGCCTTTAATAACATTCAAATACTGTAGACTGTAAGAAATTATTGCTTGGGACAGTAATATCGATCGAGAAATTTTTAACAAACCGTCTGCACAAACCATCTGCACAAAACATTTTCTTGATACAAATTAAACACCAATGGCACCCATTCACAGATTCACCGAATTACAAATCAACAACTAATGGACATTCCCAAAAATGGGTCACTTGACACATCTTTGGAAATGGCCTTCTTCTATTTTTTTTTTCTTCAAAATGACGGCGTGCCAGAAGGAATAATTTCACAGGGAGATTAGTGTCATTACTATCTTTAAACCAAGTTGGCTTTTCAACAATAACTTTGTCAGTTTCTTTTTGTAAAGCTGCAAATGATCTACTCTACCTTTAAAACAATGTTCATAAATATGCATGAGACATAGAATGAAAAATCTGCCCATCTTTTACAAATTTTGAAATACTTGCTGAACGACAATCTCGAAGGTTGCAGATGTCCTCAATCCCCCCTCTCGAAAAAAGTTGGTCTTTTGGGGGATTAAAATAAAAACATACAGTACAATTTAAACATTTGTTGGATCAACTTGAATTGTAAGGAATTGTACTTACGTGGATCATCATCATGACGGACAAGGTGAACGTGTCGTTGCAGTAGCAGCAATGCAGCAGCATGTCGAGCAGTGCAGTGGTTGCATTGGGTACTTCACGGAACATCAGTATGACCTGCAAATGTTTTGGTAGAATAGCATTTGTACATTCATTACATTTGAATGTTTTAACATTTCTTGAAGCATTAATGCGTACGAGGTGCAACTGATTACCATCTGATACAAGGGTCATTCCACCGGGTTGGGAAACAGTGCATCGTACATCAAAAAAATTGGATATATTATTAAAAGTATCAATGCATTCTAAACAATTGCTTAACATGAAATTTGTCTGAGGGTGTTTTAATAATTGTGAAAGTTTGAAATCATTTGAATGGACTTTGACAAAAATATGAGTTAAAATGAATTATTTGGATGTAACAGTGACAGTGTCAATGTTACAACCAAATCCTGTTTTTTTTTTTTTGGGGGGGGGGCGTTTTTTTTACACAGATGTAAAATAATACCCAAACTGACATTGCATATTTATAACTGGACACCTAATGCACCAAGAAAAGCTTTTGTTTTGGTAAAGTCAGGGTTCAAATATAGCAGAAACGACATGTAGACGTAACGGTGTCCAAATCACTCAGTGGAAGTGTGACATTTGGGGTTGACACGGCATGGTGTCAATGTGACATCCATAACTAAGCTATAAATTCTGCTCCATTTGATACCCAACTACCGTAACAAAATTTGTTCTTAGTGTGTTGCATGTATAGTAAGAAGTACATAGAGGGAATTTGGGTAATGTTTTACAGAAATTTACATTGACACGGTGTCAATGTTACATCAAAATGACATTTTTGCTCATTTTTGGGCAAAATACATTCAAATGGTTTAAAACTTTCTGCAGTAGTGAAACACCTAACAACAAATATAGGTTTTCCCGGCCAATTTCCTAAAAGCTTCATTCACTTCTGAAAATCGGTCATTTATTTTCGTCTGAATTTGAGAATCGCTCTGAACACGCGTTTCATTTTCGCTACCAGAGCATTCAATTCCATTTCAGTTCAATCAATTAAGTGATTGAGCAGCACCTTTTGTTTATGTCTATTCAGATTCGTTTACAAGACTTCTTTTTCAGTTTTAGAGGGCGATTTCAAACATTCACCACTTTTAGTTTAATGCATTTGGCACCACTAAGATAAAATTAGGGGTTTCATTTTCATTTACCATCAATCAAATTAGCTGTACTAGAATCAATTTAGAAAAGGTACGCTTTCGTAAATGAATGCACAGGTAACATAATTGGCCGTCTGTTTCTCAAAACGAATGCACGGACAATGAAAACGACTGAACTTTTGTTGAGTTCAAATGGGATTAAAGATCTTGCATTCAAATTCAGACGAAACTGAATGACCGATTTTCGGAAGTGAATGGAGATTTTAGCAACTGCAAGCAAGGCATTCATACTTTTCATAATATGGTCATATGGGTCATTCCATGTCAGACCAACGCACTTTTTTACCTCATGTCATCCGATTTTGATAAAAATTGCTGTGCTTGTAGGTCCTGATGAGCAATGAATGCACACCAATTTTTAGCCCGATCCGACCTACCATGTGGTCAGGGCAGAAACCATGAAAAATTGACATTTTTAGAGTAAAATACCACCCTTTTGGTAGAAATATGTCAAAACCATGTCAATTTTAATCGAATATATGCGAATTTGGTATTAAAATAATAAGAATTGCATGCTCAAATGAACTCTTTTGTCAAAATTAAATTTGGTGAAAAGGAGGTCACTTGACCTTTAATATGTTATCGTGACCTTTGACCCAATTTATGTACTAATGTATCATTCCGAAACTCAACGAAATGAAAATGACTTGATAGAGCATGTCTTCCTCTATCAGAATCTACTAAAAATCAATTGGGGTCTTCAAAATTTACAACTTTATGACTATTTTTGTACAGTTGGTGGGTTACAAATGGGTCAATTTATAGACTTTACATTAGAAATCCACCCACACAACTTACTATTCTGTTTCTAAAGCTACTTAAATTAATCTTGCTTTGCGAATTTCTCATGTTTAGGGCTGATGAGGTCTAACCAGACTCATAATATAAATTATCAGCAGTGGCCCACCCAGGATTTTGCTTTTTTTGTGTGTGTATGTGTGTGGGGGGGGGGGGGGGGAGGTGCCTCATAATTTGTTTGGTTTCAAATTTCTGTAGAAGATTGAAAAAAAAAAGAATTACCCAAAAATCAAACAAACAAATTGGCAACCTCGGAGGGGGGGGGGGGGGGGGTCCAGCCCCTTGAGCCCCCCCCCCTCCCTTGTGCCACTGATAATTAGTTATCCCAAGAGCGCACTTGGAATATGAAACAATGCAATGCTACTGTGACCCATATGCCACCCACCCGGGTCGAGGGAGTGGAACCCACCCCCTCCAAGGTTTTCAATTTGTTTGTTTGATTTTTTTTTCAATCTTCTACAGAAATTTGACAACAAAAAGCTATGAGCCCCCCCCCCCCCCCCCAATCCAATTCCTGGATGCGCCACTGCTGATAATTTATATTATGAGTCTGGTTAGACCTCATCAGCCCTAAACATGAGAAATTCGCTAACCAAGATTAATTTAAGTAGCTTTAGAAACAGAATAGTAACTTGCGTGGGTGGATTTCTAATGTAAAGTCTATATTATTGACCCATTTGTAACCCACCAACTGTACAAAAATAGTCATAAAGTTGTAAAGTTTGAAGACCCCAACTGATTTTTAGTAGATTCTGATAGAGGAAAACATGCTCTATCAAGTCATTTTCATTTCCTTGATTTTCGGAATGATACATTAGTACATAAATTGGGTCAAAGGTCACGATAACATATTAAAGGTCAAGTGACCTCCTTTTCACCAAATTTAATTTTGACAAAAGAGTTCATTTGAGCATGCAATTCTTATTATTTTAATACCAAATTCGCATATATTCGATGAAAATTCACATGGTTTTGACATATTTCTACCGAAAGGGTGGTATTTTACTCTAAAAATGTCCGTTTTTTTGTGGTTTCTGCCCTGACCACATGGTAGGTCGGATCGGGCTAAAAATTGGTGTGCATTTATTGCTCATCAGGACCTACAAGCACAGCAATTTTTATCAAAATCAGAAGACATGAGGTAAAAAAGTGCGTTGGTCTGACATGGAATGACCCATATATGTCACACATTGTTTCTCAACCCGATGGAATAACCCATAAAGGTTATCCTCATAAACTTTTTCATAATGAAAAGTTTTGGACATTTGCTCATCGCAACACTGCGTGTACACGCTCAGTATATGTGCACGTGCGTTGTTGAAAGACCAAAACAGGCATATCTTTAAAACCGGGCAACGTACAAATCTGGGGTGATCAGAAAATGAAAGAAGACATCTTCAGCTTGCTATAGGGATGAAATTTGTCATTGACAGTGCTCGGCCAATAACGACCATTTTAGTTTGAAAAAACACATCCACTCTTTGTGCTCCTATTCAATAGTGCACATCAGGAAGCGTAAACTAGTTTTTTTAGCACGTATGTCCAAGTGGTTTTTAACACAGCGTCAAAACAAAAAGTTTGGCAACCTTGGGGTGACGTCATTCATAAAGTTTACAAAATTCTCTAAACGCTGATATAAGAAGCATGCTAATTGGACAATAAATTCCGACGACCATTTTGGCTTGAAAAAATATAGCCAGCCAGTGTTTTGATAAGTTAGCCCATGGTTAGCCACAAACACACATGCGCGCGTATTATGTACATTGTATATAAATGTGCGCGCCTGTTGTGTAGCGTGTGTTCTGTAGTGTGTGTATGCAGCGCCCCGCGTACTTGAGCTTATGTCCGTTTGCCTATATCAACTTTTCATTATGTATACATCGATCCATCTGCCTACATGCACAAGAGCAGCCGGGTACAATGTACAAGTACTGAACACCTAGCCACAATCAACAACAATATGCTTGAGGCCAGAGGTGTCTCATAATTAAAGCTCTTCATAAAAACCTGGGAATTTTGCATATGAGACATTGTGTTCATCAGGAAACAGTTCAAAGTTTACATCACAACAGCCGTTGCTGTGTACTTGACTGTGGTAGCGAGGCACTATTCAGTATTGGACAATCCGTGTACACAACATACAGTCGTGCTGTTGTAGTAATAGTAGGGTGTGGCTGATACTGCTGACAGACTGCATGCAGGAAACGACTTCAAACTGTACCCATAAACAGGCCTGTTGAACTTGTAGGTAGGTGGACGATGTTATTGGACTATGCATTTGCCTTTGCTAAAATTTTCAGAAATGGATGGATTTGGGGGGTTAGTATTTCACAGCAAATATTGTTACACTGACTTGTTTGACGTTTTGGGTTTGTAGATGCTAGAAAAACCAAGAAAAACATTCATGTTCTTGTAGTCTGGTTCCCTGACGCCACTTAAATTGAAATGGAGCAATTTATAGACGTCAGGGAATTGTAAGGTCAGGGAACCAGTCTAAAAGGCTTGTACACGTTCATAGATGTGTGATCGATTGCAATCGTTTTTCTTTCCACTCTTATATGGTACATGTAGAGTCCAACTGAGCAAGATGGCAGAGGGAGGTGTGACTGATCTAGTCTTGGATGAGACTCAGAAGGAACTTCAAGAATGTCCTATCTGTTACACTGACTACAAGGATCCTAGAATGCTAGACTGCTCACACAGCTTCTGCCTGAAATGTCTGCAAGAACTCAAACTGACACAAAATAAGGATGACAAGAGCATTGTCTGTCCGTTGTGTCGAAAGGAAACTGCCCTGACTGAAGCTGGCGGGGACATGCTACCTGGAGGTTCAAAGGATGTCAATCAACAGGAACAGACTGAAGGTCAGGGGTTAAAAGTCATGTGTCATGCATGCGATGAGGAAAATGAAGCCATTTCTCGATGTATGGATTGCAAGCATTATCTCTGTCAAGATTGCCTGAAGGCGCATGATCGATTGGCACCACTGAAAAGTCACAAGATTGTAGCTTTGACAGAGCTACCTGTTGAGTCCCAAGAAATAATTGAGGACACTGAACTCAAGAAAGTTCCCAAGTGTTTCAAGCATCCAG